ACAGTAGTGTATAGGATTTCCTAAAAGCGTGTTCACGAGTCTACGGAAACCGCGGCATTCAGCTCGGCAACGTGCTCATGCTCTTCCTCAACACTGAAGTCCTCAGACATTTTTCTTTCGTTGTTTCTTTCTTTGCACAGGTAAACAGCACATTTCTTCTTCTACGCTTGCATTATCAAGAGCAGACGCTGAATGCGCACTTTCATCTGGTTTGGTCTGCCACGGTTTCCGTAGCGTCGTGAACGCGCCGGCGCGCGCTATTTAGTTTTGAAAAATTGAACTCGAACGTGAGCTAGTTCATTTTCATCTGTGTGAACTGAACTGTGAGCTTAATTAGTTTAATTACGAACTGGAACAACATTAGCAGAGTTACCCATTTCCCGAAACGTTCCATCCATGCTGCCAACGATCTTAAACACCACTAAGGCTCTAACTCCTTGATTATCCAACAGATAAACTTTGATCAGGGTGTCTAAATCATCAGATGTTTAACCACAGTCTGGTAAAATTCATCCGCGCTTTAAACTGAACCTGAAGTACAAACCTTTCATCTGCCTCCAACTCTTTACTGCATTTATAACATTCTATTTAATGTTTGTCACGTTGCTGCTAAAGAGTAGGGTGTTTCTCTCCGTTCAGGTCTTCACTCTGCCGAAGGTGAGCTCCAAGACGAAGCTGAAGCTGACCGCCGTGGACGGATCCAGGGTGCGGAGGGTGGGCGTGGCCTGGTTCGTCAGCAGCAAAGCGGAGGACTACAGCGAGGTCGGCTTGGTGTTTCTGACCAATCAGGGGGACGTGCAGGTGTTGTCGCTGCCGCACATCAAAATGCAGGTCCGTTACCCCTGCATCCGGCGGGAGGACGTCAGCGGCATCGCCTCCTGCGTTTTCACCAAGCAGGGGCAGGGTAAACAAACCTCCCTCTCTTCTATTAGCACCGTTTCTAAACCTGAAAGCTTCTTTTATTGAATAACTGATATATACCACAAGTCTTCCTCAGAGATAGATGCTCTCCTGGTTTTTCCTGTTGTGGAAAATTAACTGTTATTAATTTTATATGTTTAAAAGCTCCTAATTTTACAGTTTTTCTGCTGTGAGAAGAAAAAACAACAGCCTGATGTTCTTGGTTTCCTCCTGACTTTTAATTTAGGTGCTAATATAATGGATTATATCAATTATATACAAACGTTGATTCAAAAAGCTTTCAATAAAAATCAGTGTTCTGCATTTTAAAAGCACTGACACTGAAGGCTGCTACAAAATATTATATTATTCTTATGAATAATTGAGAAAAAGAAGTCGCATTGTAAAGATTTTTCATTTAATGACTACTGGTGGGACTTGATTGAGTTAATTACAGGGTCCTTATTTAATCAAAAGAAATCATATTAAATGGTAAATGGAAAATGTTTATGTAAATATTTTCTTTACAATCTTGGTATAATTCCTGCTCAAAGTGGGTCGCTTACTAAATATATATTGACGGTTATATATATATATATATATATATATATAAGCTTGGATAACATTGAAGAAATTTTTAAGACTGAAAGCTCAGAAGATTTAATTGAAAATATTTTTATTTACGGTTAAATTCTTAAATAACCACAGATTTCAATACTTTGTTTTAGATGCTTTTGTAACTTTTTCTGCTGTCACGTTGGTCTGTGTGTGTCATGGTTTTATGGCGCAATGTTAGAGTTAACTAGGAAACTTTGGTGTTTAAATATGTTGTAGACAGAAGTTATACCGTAGTGAAAATGTAAAAGCTGTATTTTGAGAAGGTTGGTCACCAGGAGTTTGGTTCCTGCAGGTTTTTATCTGATGTCTCCGTCTGAGTTTGAGCGCTTCTCTGTGTCGGCTCGCTGCCTGGTGGAACCTCGCTGTCTACTGGAAGCTCCTCTTCATCCCGTCTCCCCCAGCCAGCGTCGGCCACAGACGGAGGAGGCCTCATCAGCTAACAGGTACCTACTCCTCATTTCCCTCTGAGTCGGCGGTTCAGGGGATCCATCTTTAATATCTGTGATCTCTGCTCTTCTAGCAACGCAAGAGACACCGAGGACGCAGGTAAGTGATTCACCCACTGGAAGGAAAAGGATTTTCCACATTAGCTTCTCTGTTCTCTCACGCTTGAGACGGATCCTCTAACACGTCTGCCTTTGTGTTCCAGAAAGTGCAGCTAGACACGTCATGGAGCACGCTTTGCTGAATGATGAAAGTGAGTAAATCTATGGAGCAAATGCAAAACATTAAACTCTGAATCTGCTCTTCTTCACATATTCACTGAATTATTTTTCTTTAATCTTAGGAACAAAATCAGTTTCCCCCAAAATACTTTAATTTATATGAAGTGATTTATTTTTTATTTTTGTTTTTAAATACTTTTGCAGCAAAGAACGTGTTTCGTAAAGTTTAATGAAAATGTATTTTAGAAATGAAACTTAAAAAACCAAAAAAAAAAAACGGTTTTAAGTGTAACTTTGCTGTTGGCTGAGGTTTTCAAAATGTATTTGCTCCTTAAATTTTTTTTTTTTTCAAATTAAAATTGTTGGAACTGTAATAAAAAAAACAGGTTTTATATTTAAAAAATTTTATGAATTACATTTTTTTCAAATGCAGTTTGAATTGATTGCAAATAGTAAAACTCAATCTGATAAAAAAATATTGAAAAACATTTTTTTTTTTGTAAAAACTTAAAAAAGTAAGATGTGAAATTCTTTTTAAACAATAGCATAAAATATGTACATGAAAACAGTAAAGTTCTTTAAACCTTTTTTGATTAAGATTTTTTATTTATTTTATTTTTCGGATTGATTTTTTTTATTTAATATAAATCCATTAAACAAATTTATTTTTATTTTTTAATATATGTTTGTGGTTTCTATATTTTTTAATATTTGAAGGAGCAGTCTGCATATTGGTCTCCTTTTAAAGTCTATATTATTTATTACACAACTTAATAAAGGAATATCAGTTTTGACGGAATGATGGAATAAAAATTAACCAATTTTTTTTTTATATTGCCAACATGACCTCATTACATCCTGTAATTTCCTTCTGTCAGTGCAGAATTGATAAATAACTTTCGTCCGTACATTGTCTCCATCAGTGTATATTTTATGAATATATTGGACTGCATAAAAAATGTGGGCATTTTTTTTTCAAAATATGAAAATGTAATTTTAATGTTTTGTTGCAATTTTACCTTTGTTTTGTAAGCATTAAACTTGTCTAATTGCCTCTTGCAGAAGTTCTACAGGAAATCCAAAAGTCTCTAGAGGGCGACCAGACGTAAGTTTCCCTTTAATAAGAGTTTAAACATTTAACTTCCCTGCTGGGATTGGTCGACCCCAGGCTGCATAAACTGGGCTCTGACCAAACTGATATTAGGGAAGGATTCCCCCTTTAAAGCTGTCGCTGCTGGACTAGTGGCTAAGCAGGAGGATGAGGATGAGGATGGTGGTTGAGGATGCAAACACCGAGCCGATGCATGAACTGACTACAAAATTCAAAAAAAGAGATCAAGGCACAGAACACGTGAAGAAAATAAAAACACTAAAAAAGAGAGAGGCTGCAATCACAGACAATGGAGAAAAACACAAAACTACTGCATACAAATAGATGCAAATAGACCAAATGATGTTAACACAGAAACACGCTGCTAAAAAAGATGCTTTGAGTAGAAAAAAAAAACAGCTGCATAATGGAAGAGCTCCGAACCACTAGGGGGAGACAATCATCAACTCATAACGGGACCAAACCCTCAGTAATGGCATGAATAGGATATGATGAGAAATTAAAGAAGATAGCTACAGGTTAAACTCCTCCCAGTCAGTAGGTGGCGCTGTTAGGTTACCCCATCTTCTTCCAGTGTGTTAAGAAGAATCCTGTTGGTTCCACATTCGCATAATATTCAGGAGTAAATGTTTTTATATTTTTGACCCATCAAAATGTATCAAACATTATTTACTTTTTTAGAAAAATTTTTGTGCAACTTTAGTCCTGTGGATGTTTTATAATTTCTAAAGAATTGTTTTGTTTAAAAAAAAACAAATGAGCTAAAATCTGCAGATAAAAAAATACATTTTCGAAGAAATAAAAAAATAAAATCAATGACAACATCAGTTACTCTTAAAACCAATTTTTGATTATACATTTTCTAAAGTATTTTCAAAGAAACTCTTGCATATTTATCAAATTTCCATTTACAAATTTCATTCTTTGTTTGAGTCACATGGAGTCAATTTTCTCCACTTCTGTTGCAGTCTGAGATAATTTTCCAATTGTTCTATATATTTTATTTTGTTTTTCAGAAGTTTAGCTGCTCTTTACTGAAGAAAATACTGACCCCTACTGGTCAGATAATTTGGAAAATATACAGAACTGCTGATTTTATGTAAAGTATCAAAAGAAGGAAGAGAAAAAAATTTTGGTTTAAACATCTTCTCTAAAAAAAAATAAACTGGGATCAGTTTGACTAAATAAACAACGGCAAAACAAAAAAATTGTATTGGTTGGTTAGTCGCTAATTTGATTTAAGGTTGAAATACCTCTTTACCATGGCCCTAATCTTTAGCTCCCTCCCAGTTTCCAGCTGTGACTGTGACCGTTCATGTTATTGAGATCAAAGACTTATCTTTTATCTTCCAGGGTTATGAATATGTTTGTGTCTTTATTTATAAATATACCGTATTTTCTGGACTATAGAGCGCACTTCAACATAAGCAGCACCGGCCTGTAAGTCGCTGATATCTTCTGAACTGTCTTCCACCAAACCTGTAGGGGGAGCTCTACATATAGCCATTGGAATATAGCCCACAGAAAAGCCGCACTTTTTTTATAAGCTTCATGGTACAAAGTGTGGGAAAAAATTGGCAGCTTATATTCCAGAAAATACGGTATACAATTTATGCATTTAAAAATATGTAAACATTCAGTATAAATTGGTATAAAATATTCTGAACCTTTTTTTGGTTTGTCTGAAGGTCCTTCACGGAGAATAATGTGAAGAGTGCTGTTGCGTGAAAACAGGTCAGACTGAAAAATAATTTTTAAATATTGTAAAGTGTTTTGGTAAAACTTTTTATCCTAACCCTGTTTGTTTATTTTTATTGTTTATTTGCTTTCTTAGAGAAAAAGACAAAACGGTAAAATGTATGAAGTGTACTGCAGTCCTGCGGCTCCTCTTACCTCAAACCCGACCACTACCGACCCTAAACCTGCATTAAAGGACGCCCAGTCTGAGCAGATGGACGGCGGACGGAGCCTCGGCCCCGCCACTCCCACGCCATCCAACCAGTTCACGTTCATTCTAAGAAACTGATGCTGGTGGAAGAACTTTGGGGGGAAATTGGATTATTTAAATCAATATTTGCTTTAGAGACATACTTATTTTTTCCCCCCAGTTATTCTGAACGTAACGCTGAGTCGTCTTTCCATGTCCACCTGTCTATGCTGCAGAAATTTGAAACTGACGCTTTTTTACTCGGGTCAGAGTTTTATCAAATATTTTGTCTTTTATTTCCCAGCCTTACTGAAAAAAACAAACTAATGCTGTAATCATAAACTAAACGGGGGAAATGCTGTATTTTTGCTGGTTTTATTTTAATTCTTCTGTTAGATAATTGTTTGTTAAATTAATGTAGATCCACACTACACCCCCCCACCCGCCTGCTAACCATAAGGTCGCCTGATGAGAGGTACTCGTTCACTACAGCTCAGCACACTGTCATTTTTTCTTTTTATTGGGGGGGGGGGTCTTAAAGGGTTATATTATAATTCCTATTATTTGTTAAGCTGTTTTAAGCCACTATTGTCATGATTCTGGAATGTAATTCTAAGCGCTAATATCCTGTACTGTGTATGAGACGGTTGTGCCTGTTTTCACTGGGGTTGGCTGCTATTTAGATCAACAGGAAATGTTTTGGTACCACGTGTTTGATTGCTCCGTATTTTAGCATCAGCTTGGAATATATTTTTGTAGCAGAATGATTTTTCAAACCTGATATTTTTGAGTTGTATGAAATTTTACACTGTAGTTTTCCTGTAATCAATAACATGTTTTTTTAAAAACAATATTTGTTTGTTTTTTTCTTTTTCTTTCTTTGGTTCGTGGAAGTTTTTTCACAATTTGGCTTAACAAAGGTAAAGGTATTGTGGAGAATTTTTGCAAATTTGTTAAAAAACCCGCCCTCTCCACTTAAAAAAAAAAAAAAGCACGTGCACAACCCTGTGCCAGCTCCTGAGAGGGAACTCTATTAAACTTGTGCGTGAGAGCGTGCACGAGCCGATTTCTCCTCGTTCTTAGAGCTCATCCAAGCTCACTGTGTCCGACCATTCGCCCTAACCCCTAAATCCCTCCATCACTAAATAGAGCAGGGACTAAAAAGTGAACTTTATAGTGAACTCAGCAGAGATGGCAAAAGTACTCATTTTCCGTACTTGAGTAAAAGTACAGATAGTTGTGTTAAAAAATACTCTGGTAAAAGTAGAAGTACTGATTAAACTTCTTTACTCAAGTAAAAGTAACAAAGTACAGGCTTGTAAATTTACTTAAAGTATAAAAGTAAAAGTAGAAACCACTTTTTTCATGCTGTTGCCTACATTTTAAATGGATGTCTGCCAATAGGACTAGATCTCCATTGTGTTCATTTTCAATCATCTCGTCGTCCATGCTACTATGC